ATATTCTTATTTTTTCTTTTTCTTTTTCTTTTTTATTTTCTGCACCTCCTATTTTTTCTTTTTCTTTTTCTAGTTTGTATTAGTTTATATTATTGTAATTGTAATTTTTAATACTACCAAAAAAAGAGAGAGAGAGATCCAGGTTATTGAAATCTGTGCCCAGTACTTATATCTATGCCTGTTTCATATAATTCAGCATGTCTTTAAACTTTATTAGGTGGAAGTTCTCTATGAAGATGAACCTCTAAAGGAATATTACACACTCATGGACATAACCTATATCTATCCTTGGCGAAGGGTGAGTAAGGAAAGAAATCCTCTACTGTATTTGAAAGAGATAGCCTGCCTCATCTTAATGAGATTTAATTTTCACACTAATGAGCAGATTTGGACGGATTTCCAAATTTCAGCCTATCAACATGAGAACTAGAAACTTTACACTTTTTAACAACATCTGGGATTATATTAGAACATGTTCATGCAATGGAGGAGAAGGAAAGGTAAAAGAAGTAACAGCTTAGTGACCCTCTTGAAAGTTGGCAATTATATCCCTCTATTGTACCCATGATTTTGGTTAGCTTGCTATACACATAATGTAACATAGGGCTGAGAAACGTTTTGAACAACTCCATAAGATTAAGTTTTGCAATAATATATACTAATATCAAGCCCTCTGAGGCTGGCAAACTCAGGAAACAAGAACCACTTGGATTTCTGGAATGACTTTTATTGCTAGTAGGGTAACAGAATCTTGGAAGTCTGCTAAAGCAATTCTCCAGATCAACTTGCACCCAACTTAATCAAGCTGGAGTTACTCCAAGTTTCTTTTTCATATTTTGCCCTTCCTCTGGACTGAGGAATCTTTTCTGTAACGGACCTACTCCATTCTCTGTGTCTCCAGGATCTGTTAGAGATTCCATCACAACTATAGTAAAATACAATAATATTTCAGTAAATTGTTTTTAGAGTGATATTTGTCTGTGAAAAACATAACCCACAGCTTTTTTTTAAAACAAAACAAAACAAAACAAAGCCAATCCATAAGTTTGGCTCATCTTTACTCAGAAGAGAAAAATAAAGTGTAGGAAATTGATTTTTTTAAAAAAGCCAAATTAAAAAACCCCCTCAAGTCCTAGCTTTATTTGGAAAGAAACTAGGAATTCTGGGAATTGAAGGTTTGAAGATGCCAGGGTCAAGAAGCTGATTTAATACATACCTGAAAAACGAAAGGAAATTAAGGTTCAACTAATTTTATTTTTTATTTTATTTTATTTTTTTGGTGCCTTCAAGTCAGTCATGACTCCTGGTGACTGCCTAGACAAGCCTTTGCAGTTTTCTTGGCAAGATTTCAGAAATGATTTGCCATTGCCTCCTTCCTAGGGCTGAGTGAGGGGGACTGGGCCAAATTCACCAGGCTCGTGCCTCAGGCAGGAGTCAAACTCAGTCTCCCAGTTTCTAGCCTCCTGAATAACAACAACAACAACAACAACACCCCCTACCTTGACATAGTTATAATCCTCTCGAACCATATACTAAGATTAGCTGGGGAAGGCCTGTGTATGACCACATTAGTAAGGTTGGCCTAGTATGTGGTGACTCTGAGTAGATGTGGGAGCATCATTCAAATTAGGCAACAACTGCTTCCTGAACAGGTAAGAGGTAGAGCAAGCCACATAGCACGAGGTGGGACCCATAGACTCAGAGACAGATTCTCACTGGGGTGACCTGTTCTCTGCTTGGCTTTCTGGGGAATGAAGGGGAGGCAAATGCCACATACTTAGTCCCAGCCGCTTCTTGGCTGGCATTGCCAGGCATCTTTTGTGGAGCTGTACTGCTGCCCCTTTGCCCTATAAGGTGTACTGCCTGCCATGTCTTGCCAAAGGCATCCTGTCCTTTGTGGGGAGCCTGCTTGTGGGTTGTGAAAGATGCTAGATTGCTTAGTATTCTTCACCTTGCTTCTTAGAAAAAAAAATTACAACCTGGTTGCATGTATTGGACCGAACTGGCTAAATAACCTCCTTGGAGATGTGTCTTCTTAGTGGTGATGACCTAATTATGGGACTGTCTCCCAGGACAAAGACTGCCTGGCTTTAAACAAAAGCTTAAGATGTTTATCTATCTGTCTATTTGTCAACCAAACAACCAACTAACCAACATTCATATATGTACTGCCCCAATCCAGTCTATGCACTGGGCAGTGTATAAAATCATGATATTTTATTAAAAACACCTCAAAAATGTAAACATAAAGCTAGATGTTCACTTACAATTCCTCCTAGGGGGCCAAAGGCCCGCTTGACACAAAATTGTTTTCAGTGTCTTCCAGAAGTCAACAGAGAAGGGTCCAGGTGTACCTTTTGCGGACAGTACATTACGTGAGGGACCACTACAGAGAAAGCCTGCCTTTTGGATCTGTTATCTCCCATGGGGTGGGATCTTAAATAGGCCCTCTCTATGTCTGGACAGGCAAGCAGAATCATATTTAGTAAGGTGGTCCCTGATATGTGCTTATTTACAGGATAATAACTGCCTGAGGACCATACTATTAGGTCAGTTTCAATATTGACAAATGGTTTTCAATATTGACAATGGTTTCAATATTGACAAATGGTTACAGCTGCACTTGTATGGCCTATTTGTTTTTATAGTTTTTAAATTATGTCTGATGTTTTACTGTGATTCTTTGCTGTTGTTTTCTTTCGAAGGAAGAGCAATATGCAAGTTATTAATTCATCCTCTTTCTTTCCTTCCATAGAATGGCCCTCTCCCATTGAAGTATCGTGTCCAACCAGCCTGCAAGAGGTTAAAACTCTCCTCTCAGCCTCCCAACTCAGAGTGCACCAACACCAGTGGGGCTTCAGAGTGTGAATCTGTCAGTGACAAAGCTCATAGCCCAGCCACCTTGCCAGCCACCACCTCCTCCTCATTGCCGAGTCCTGCCACACCTTCCCATGGCTCCCCAAGTTCCAACACCACCACTGTAAGCATTCCAGCCAACTCCGTATCTGGTGCCATGCTCAATGGCACCTCGAACTGCCACCAGATGCAGCCCTTGGCCAGTAGGGGGCGCAAGACAATGGTCAATGGTAGCCCAGCCATGTCAGCCTTGACTTAAAAGGAGCACTGTTTTTGTTCGATCTGAGTTTTATAAATAAGTATATTATGTGTAGATAAGGGCAATGGTGGTGGATGGGGTGGGGAAATTATACATACTTATTTTCTATCAACTGACCTGATTTAATTTAAGAAAAATGCAAAAAGTAAAAAAAAAAAATCCAATGTGTCACTTTTTTAATTTTTGAAAAGCAAAAATGTGCTCATGTAACTGCATGGTGGCATCTGTGTAAAAACTGCAGCCCTTTCTCGATGATGATGATTCTTTTTTATTATTATTTGTGTCCTTGATTTGTAGTGAGATTTGATGCACAGTCTTGGAGAGAAAAAAACGCACAGCCCCAAATCAACCAGGCTTTCGTAGAAGCACATATGGCTTTCCTGGGTCCTTTTTGTCAAATGACTGTAGCTCACTTCCTCCCCTGCCCCCCCACCCCAGTCCCTTTTATACAACCCCATTCCATTTGTGCAGCTTTTAGTCCTATATTTGTACCTCTCTCTCCCTGAAGGACCTTGGGTCCAACCACTTGTCAAGCCAAGCTGCTGTTAAAGGGTCAGAAGGGAGGAGTAGACATTTTTGTGCATGGAAAGGGGTGACAATGTGCTTATTCTCCGTGATGTGAAGGTTGCTAGCCACTGTAGATACGCACAGTGCCAGAAGAATAACATGGCCCCTGGAGAAGAGGGTTAACAGCTACTATAAGCAGCAGAGAAAGGAGTCAAGGCAGGAAACAGAGGCTCATAAGGCCAGAGGTTAGTTGGGATGTGGATGAGGACGTGGATCTGCCTTAAGTCTTGTTCCTGTAATGATAGTAATTGTTATTTTCCTGTATGAGAGCCTAGAAATAGATTCTAAAACTGCCTCTTTGGTGGCGGCAGGTTCCCCACTAATGATTTAAAACAATGTCTTCTAGAATCACCCACTGATCCTGTGCCGAAATAACAGTATTGAGGACAAGTTTTACATCTCCACAGCAATGGTGGGATGATGCTGGAAGACACAATAAGTGGCAAGAGGGGATCCTATCAATGTCTCAAAAGGCCTTGGGCTAGTAATTAATTAATTCTTATGTTCCACTTATTTCTCTGTTCAGAAAATGCAGAGCTGCAGCTGGAAGGTGAATGACAGTGCCTTTCACTGGCATAACGTCACCAGCCCTATGGGTGGAGCAGTTTACACCATTAACCACAGTATGGTGGCCTTGGCGCCTTGTACTAAGCACTTAGTTGTTGGAATAATATGTCTTGAAGCTTCCCCTTTTATTTATACAGCATTTCCTTTCTTATACATGATGTCTGTCTTCAGAGCACATCTTTGCTCTGGTTTTAAATAACTTCAGCCATATGTTTCCCTACCAATGGATGTGGGAATAGTTTGCATACTAACAATTCTTTCTCAGAGATTTCTTGGCTGTTTGCAGACATAACAGTTCCCAAGACCTGGCCAGAAATAGGCTGGGGACAACTAGAGAAAGGCAACCACCTGCATGTGACCTTCCCAAGCACCCTTGGCTGACTTATCAGAGGCAGATGATTCACCTATACAAATCTTTGACCGTTATTAGAAAAGCAGCTTTATATTTCTTACAATTCTTGCTCTGATGCTTGATAGTGGTTTAAATCTGTAGTGTAGATTTGTGCTTTTGAGAGTGATTCTAACAAGAAGAACCACAGTCGTAATTTCCACCATCTTGAATTCATGGAATTTAAACTGCGATTCTCAGGCATTCGATTCATAGTATAGGGATTTCCACCAGGGTTCTCAAAATCCGTGGTGCTGTGACTGCCTAAAATAATAAATTAATTCATGTGATTTCCCCTGCCCCACAATAATATTGATGGCGGTGGAAGCAGCTGAAGAAGTATGTCATTTCTATAAGCAGCTACCTAAAATGGTAAGCTTAGTGCTGCACTCTCTTCTGGGCTTGAAGAGGGGCCCTGGGCCTGCATGTCTCCTCATCAGCCACACGCTGGGCATGGTGTGGTTCCTTCCCTCCTGCTTTCCCTAGGATTGGAGCTCTGCAGTCTCTGGATTCCCAACCCTCCGACTTTTCCACCTTTCTGGCTACCCAAAAATGTGTGACCCCCCCTTCTAATTCACTTATGAACCCCTTGGGGGTCACAGTTTCAGAACCCTTGATTCAGCAAGCAGATGTGTTTGGGAAAAGCCAGAGTCACCTTATCCCAAGTCCTTGGAATGAGAAATATTTTTGTAGCCTTTATAAAACCCTATTCTGCATTTTTTAAAAAAAGACCTTGTTTGTTTAATCTTCTTGTAAATTTGGTTTAGAAAAATAAATACAGTGCCTTTGCAAAGGAAACTTTATTAATGTGCGGAGGTGGTGAGCAGGGGTTTGTGATTTAAATTGCTGGGGGTGGGGAGATCTTTTCTTTTGCTAATTTGTGCTTCAAGACTGCCAGATGGAAATGCACAACTTCCAAAGGGAAGAGTTTTTTTCCATCACTTTCAATCCTTTCCCCTTAGAGAAGAAAATGGTATCTAGAATAACTCCTCCCAGTCCCCCCCCCCCCCCGCTTTCTGTAGGGTAGGAAGGGCTAACTAGACACAAGCACATTTTGGATTCCTGGAAATCAAATCCCAGGGATTTTGTTTGTTTTTCCTCTGGCTGATTCTCTGGAAGGCAGTCGTTCTCACAAGTGCAATCCATGCTTGGAAATAAATTTTCACAATTGACTCAGATGTCCGCAGTAACCAGCTGGACATGGGGGCAAAGAGGTGCAATGGGTAGGGGGAGAAAGTGTGTGTTAGCAACCTGCGGTGCTCTCCTGTCAGACCTTCCCTCACCCACCCTACACTTGTGAGCCAGATCAACTGCCAGCACAATAAGAGGAGTATTAAGCCTGCTCCTGTTCTCCAGCTGCTGTCTATTCTTGGGGTCTGGTGGACCTCACACAACGTGATGTTTGAAGAATAGTGTATTCTTTCCCTTGCGTCTACCTTCTTATGTGTGCTCACAGAATGAGGAGAAAGAATCACTGCCCTGAGAAGATCCTCCCAAATTCTCTCTTTTACGCCCGACCCTTCCAGAGGTAAGACCATAGGATTGCCTTGCTGGATCAGGCCAAAGTCAAGCTGCCTCACCTAGCACTTTGACTGAGATCCAAAGAGCTCCTTACACTAGAGGAATGGGACTTTGGGCTATTTTTGTTCTAAACAGCCAGCACCTCTATTCCCGTCTTCCTATTCACTAATGACTTTGGAGTTTTCCCCTTGGATTCAAAAGCACTTGGCCATCCTGCATGGAAGGCTTCTGTAGGAAAACCACGTGAAAACTAGTCCATGCTTCTTTGGAGGGCTAACTCTGTCGTCTGCAGCATCAGTATCCGGAGAGATGCTGCCTTTGAATAGTTCGGCTACCAAAGCTACTCCACCCTTCCACAGACTACATTTAGAGCAGCCGTTCCAGAAAACCCTGCCCTCCCAAAGGTAGACTGTTTCTCTGCTGAACGGCTGTAAAATTTAAAAAGACTCTTTCCAAACCTGCTCCTCTTAATTGTTCTCCTTGTTGCTTGTTCTGTCTTCCAAGTAAGGCTGAGCAGTAGCTGTTCCTGAATTAATCTCCCTGATTTTTTTTAAAAACAATCTTATGTCTAAAGAAAGGGGGGGGGCTTGAAGTTTTGTGCTTTCAGCATCATTTGTGGTAGTGCCATAATGTCAAGGGTGTAAGTGTATGCAGAGGGAAACCTGATAAAACGCCAGGCATAAGTACTCTGTTACTGTGGAAGTTGCAATTCCCATGTGGTATTTAGGGAAGTGATTTTAGTGCAGGACTGCCTGCACTATTCTAATATGATTCTGCTCGCCAGTCCAGTCCTTTTTTAAAAAAAGAAGAGAACCACATTCTATTACCCTAACACAACTTGCTGGCAAATTGTGTTTGCATCTCTTGCCTCTGAGTTGGTAAGCTGGAAAAGGCAGTGTCTCTCATTGGGCTGGATTTGGCCCTGGGGCCTCCAGTTGCTGTCCTATACATTCATTAGTGTTTTGTCACACAGAGGTACTGAAGATCTAGAAGGGTACCAAAGACCTAGAAGGGGTAAGATGATACTACAGCAGTTTTCCTGAACCCAGTGAATTGGATTATATCACCCACTGTCCCCAGCCAACATTGTGCTCATTCTAGTGATCTTTTCTTCTTATCCTGTTGGCTGAGACTGAGTTTGATCCTGCCAATGGCATTAGGCCATGCTAAAAAATTGCTGGACTTGGAAATTAGGAAAGTCTTTCTGTCTGTTCATTATCTTTGTATATACTGAATAACCTGACCAAGGCAACTAAGGAGCCTAATGTTTTTCTTCTCCTTTACCCCTCCCCCTTTTTTGTATATTTTTTTTTAATATGGTACAAACCAAATTGCTCTGTATGTTTGCAAACCTGTATGATGTTTTAATGTGCTGTAATATATTCTGATATTCATATATTGTTATTGGTTAAAACATTTGTATCAATAATGCAGTTTGTAAATGGTAATAAATGCTACAATTTTGTCCTTCAGTCTGTTGCTTGGAATATTCTGATGGGCTTGTGTCTGCCTTCCCCCGATTCCAAATTGTGCAAAAGGAACATAAATTGCTGCACAGAGAGAGAGAGAGAGAGAGAGAGAGAGAGAGAAAAGGACCCTGTTAGCTCATTAAAGCCAATATGGTGATGGATGGTATTATTCCAGGAGTGGTGGTAGAATCTAAATACTCACCATGTATCATGCACGGCCCTCCAATTTGGTGCTCTTCTGTTGTGGTGAAGCTGCAATTCCCAGAATTCCTTGCCAGCACAGAAGTTCCAATCCCATTGAGTCTGAAGGGCACTAGGTTGGGGAAGGTGATGTAGAAAGCAGCAATTTATACCGTGATTTGGCTACTTAGCATTGCCATGTTCCGATATCCTCTGTTTAACGTTCGCACTCCTTCCTAATAATCAGATGCACATTTTAAAAATAATGCATGTGGCTGCTATGGAGGATGGTGGACCCTCTCAGGATTGCAGGCAGGCAGGGGTGGGAAGCCCAACCCTTTGAATAGGAACACACACATGTGGCAGCACCAGGGTTCTTCCTCCAAGCACAGAAGGCAGCTTTAAATCCCCTGCTTCCTAACTAAAGGGATGCAGATTAAAACATCGGTCATATCCTCTAGTATCTGCTATATGTATTTTTTAAAAGGTGACTGTAAAAATATAACAGCCTCCTACCTAAAGGTCTACTGTGGTCTTGGGTATACTTTCCAAGCCCTGTTTACCCTAGGAACTTTTTCAGTTATAGCCCTTGATTAATGAGAATGTAAGGCTGTCTGTAACTAGTACTTCTAACAAAATTGAAATCCTCTGTCAAGGACAGTTGAACATCTGCAAGCTGATAGAATTTCTCCTTTTGCAAAACTTAATGTGTGAGTGGTGGAGGTGTCAAATTCAGCAGCTTTGCTGGTTTTGGCTTCTGAAATTTCAGTCAGCACTGTCCATATAATTTAAAGGCCATCCTCATGACCAGGAGAGCTGGATAACCTGGAACTGAGATGTTGCCACCTGCTCCAGCACCTTACCCAGGAATGGGATAATGGGAGATCAGCTAGAAATCATCCCAAAATGAGGAATTCAGGAAAGGGTTCTTTAAGCAAGTTCTCACTGTTCTCTCTCTGAGGCATAAGAGATTCACACTTTGGCCTCAAGAAACATTCCCCTCCTTTAGCCACTAAGCGGCTGCTCACTCCTTTCCTTCAGAAAGACAAGGGTCAAGCACATATGAGGCCTGTCTCATTTGTCCAAGGTTCTGTCTGCATCCTCAGGTTGTACAGATAGAAAAACAGCCATTATGATACTGTAAGCAAAGGTCAACGTTGTATCCACCAGGAGATGCAGGTTAGTACTGATATAAGCAATTATCTCTGCAAAATATTGTAACATGAAAACTGGTGACACAATGCCAATTTCAAGTGGTCTATATTTTCTTGTGACCAAAAAGCTCCATTGGATGATTGTGGCAACACAGTGATTGCATAATGTAATTTCTTTTTCACCATTGCTGACATAGCACAGGCTTTAGTCAAGGTCTGTTTCAAGTTTTCCACCAATGTTGCTCTAATTACTGTCCAGATCGTTTCTTGCCAGCAGCTTTTGGGAAGAGCAGGGAGCTAATTTGTCACAATACTGGAAGAGAAGGTGCTCTGCATCAGTCATATTACCTATTTAGGATACTTCTTCATTCCAAAAGTCAGCTCAGACAAAACCACCTGTCAAGATTATAGAAGACCCACCAACAACTGTGAGAAAACATTCAGATCCATCACTCTCTTGGGAAAAACATATTTATCAGCCCTTGTTCCTTCTCCAGTAAGTCTAAATCCCAGCAGACAGAGGGATATAGCAAGTTCTTCCCTGTTTATCCCAGTCAACCTGGAAAGCCAGATCCAACATCTGTCCTGTTGAGTGTGTGGGACTGAACTGAGTTTACTATGGGGCTAGATGGCAAGGAAAACAGCAATGGATCAACGTGACACATTCTGGGAGCAGGATTTCCTAACGAGTGTAGCAAGACTGCTCTTGCCTAACCCTGAAGAGAAGATAGTTAAGAGAGTTATTGTAGCAAAAGTATTAAAATGCAGAAAGATGTAGGATTTGTTTATTTATTTATTAAACAAATTTATATAGCCACCCATCTACCAGAAGGAAGTTTGGGCAGCTAACAAAATAAAAACACAGTACATTAAAATGACTATTTAAAACAATAAGCAATGTTGGGACCTAAATAAAATTCACATCCACCCACCAACAACCTGTGCCAGCTCTATCAACACCTGGGCCCCAGTGCCTGGGGAAAAGCCAAGTCTTCACTGATTTCTGAAGGCCAACAGGGTCAGGGACATCCATATCTCTGGGGGGAGGCTGTTCCATAAGACAGGCACCATGACAGAGAAGGCAAGCTTCTGAGGTCCCACCAGTGACTCTGCTTCACCAAGCACCCGCCCTGCCAGATCATTATATCTGCTAAGCCATGGAAAAAAGATAAAGGACCCCACAAAAGTAGCGGTGTCTGCGGATGGAGGGAGGGAGTCAAGATGACAGTTGTGACTGCGTGATCAGAGTTCCACCCCTTTTCTACATGCAATGCCATTTGCTTTCTCTACTTCCTGCTCACTAAACCATTCATCTTACTTAAGTTTCAGTTGCTTGCCATGTTAAAGGGTTGGTGATCAGTAGCCTCATGAAATTATGCAGTGAACGGGGATGACCTTTTGGTTTCTGTCAGGGACTGAATAATACATTTTTCTTAAACATAAATTGGATATAAACAAGCCTTCTGATTTGATATATTGTAGCCTTATCAAGGCTAAATTGACTATCACACTAACTGCTTTCAGAAGATCATGGCAATGAGAAACATACTGTCTGCATTCTAAATTTTAGGATTTAGGTTTAGGCCATTTTCAAAAGAATTTCAACACAGAAAGCTGACCAAGCCTATGTACAGTAGGCTTTTGGAATATCAGTACAAAGAGCTGCAATCGTTTATATCAGGTTGTGGCCACATGATGGCAACAAACCCCCATGCTTCAAAGCATTCCTGAGGTTTGAAACAACAGGAGGTGGAGAACCTGATCCTTCCAGATGTTGCTAATATAAAGGTTCCAGCGATCCTAGCCAGCCTGAAGAAGGGTCAGAGATGCTGGGAACTGGCCTCCAGACACATCTGAAGGGTCACACAGTCCCCATACCTATTGTAAATGTCTTTTCTTGGGAGCAGCAGGGCTTAATTTAGGCAAGGGACCCACTCTTGAAGAGTTTTTTTGTTTGTTCTTAGTTCCAGATGTCAATTAAACTGAATACTGCCCTCTGCTTTTCAGATATGCTTGAAATGATTGCATAGGAACATCTAAACCTCAGGGCTTCAAGCCATCTCAGTGGTTCTGCACACTGAGGGTAATAAACCAGGTTCCATGTCCTGGTAACCTCCAGCTATGCAACATCTGCAGATCCAGACATTCCCGCTAGTACAGGAGTTTCAGACACTGATGTAAGCAATGAGATGGATGTAGGGACTGGGTGTGCATCACAAAGTCTTTTTATACTTTTTTTTAAGTAGTTGCCAAATCTGTCAACATTGCTCCCTTTTAATAAAAAGGGTAATAAAACTGAGCCACAATTAAAATTCTGCTCCCCTTTCCCCCATTAAATCTTGGATAGCAAAGCTAGCAAAACTAGCTTTTCATCCTCCATCTCCCTGTCATTCAAAATAAGGACTATACTGGCAGAAATAAATATTGGTTCAATACAATAGTTTCCAATATATTTCACACATACTTTTCCCCAAGTGGACCATCCAAAAATATTATTTGATTTGATCAAGTGCTTACAGCTATAATCCACATGCTAATATTTCCTGCCTCCCAAGGCTGTCTTCTCCAGAATCCAAAAGGAAAGCTCTCATCCCAGCATCTTTTGCAATGCACTAGCTGAAATCCTCTGCTTACTGGCTGATTTAACTGTTTCAAAATTATCCTGTTTCTAACCTCTTTAGCCTTCCCTTGTTGGACTGCCTACCAGAGATTAGCTGTTTTTTTCCTTTGAAATACACACTGCTGCCATTCTTCTACTTGCTACTTCTGCAGCCCACGAAGGGGACCATTTTCCTGGGCAAGGATTTCCCACCACTACTACCCTCTGCCTTCCAAACCATGCACACAACATTAGCACTGCACAGTGTTTCTGTCTGAAATCAGGGAAGATACTGCATCTTCCCCCTTCATGGATCACTGCCTTGTCGTGGCGAAGGGGCTTGCGTAACTCAGTGAAG